TTATGTAAAAAAAAAAATCATGTATAATTTTTTTTTTTTTTTGGTGTATTAGCCCGGCCTATAATCCGATCCTGGATCCGTCCCTGCCCACGTTGTTTTCGGGTTGAATCTTTAGACTTGGTTATTGGTAACAATTTAATCCAACGTTTACATCATAACTCGGAATTCATTGGGGTATCAAAACGTAACATTTATGATGCAGCAACTACGGGGAAATAGTTCAGTTTTTTATGTACTTTCTTAAATTGTAATTTGGTGGTCGCGCTCAAGCCGAAGCATGCATCTGCCAGCATCGCATGTTGCATTAGAGCTTTAGCCTTTAAAGATTCACTTTGCATATCGTACTTATAAATCGTCTCAAGGAGTTGATGGAGCTTCAAGTTTTTCAAAATAAGTCAGACATGTCGATGATGACATGGTGACAAGTGGCAATTTGTTCACGTGTGATGATGTGGCAAAAAATACACGTGGCACCTGTATAACACGCCAACAGTCCTACTGTTTCACCAAAGAGACAATTGATATGTAGTTATGTGTGGATATGTGAATGCAAATGTGTGTTCACACTGGTTGATTGTGGAAATTGAATGACAATGGAAGGGTGTGATTTTTAATAGGGTGACTTGAATCGGTTTGACTAGTAGGGTGACACAATACTAAGGGTTAGATGAGATGAAAAGTTGTACATTGGAGAGAATTGGATATCTTTGAAAGGTTGCTAAACAAATAGTATTTAGATCGAATCCTACTAAAAAGACGTGATATTTCATAAGAGACATTAAACACCACTTACTAGACCCATTCAAAAATCAAACACAAAATTAATACTTTAGAAATTTGTCTTTTCAAATAAGTTAGGTAGACCAGTGATAATCGTTACAAGATCATTAATCTCTTCAAACAAGCATCTTAAAGAAAAATCACAATTTCGTGTAAAAATAATTTTTGTATTCTCAATAAATGTATGGATTTATGAGTGAAATTTGAACGGCCAGTAACGTATCTATTCATTGTGGAATGTTGACAACATTAATCATTGAAATGAGATTTTGAAGATTCAAAGAAATATGAAAATCTATTGTTGAATTTTATATAAAGAAATGTTCAATATGAAGCCAACAATCACACAGTTTTCTCCACCCACATCTAGAAGGAATATGACCCCTTGTCAAGGAAATTCACATGAAATTCCACCATGGCCCTACCTTGGGTATTTTCTAGGAAATGAAAAGAAAAAAATGTGTGTGTTGTTCTGTCTTTATTACTTTCTCTATCATATGTGAAATACAGCGAGTTATGAACTTTCCCTTTCTCATAATAAAAAGTTACATGATGAGTTTGTTACAATTTTCTTCTCATGTCAATGTGAACAAATAATCAAGAAATATCAACTGCACAATATCTATGGAGTAATGCTATTCATCCCCACCGAGGTTCAGCCCCATTCTATGTGACATTAAATGATAGATTCATTTAAATACAAAATCAAATGACTCATTTAATGAAGTCTATTATTTAATACCGCATAATTGCCACGTAAATTGGGGCTCAATCTCAGTGGGGATGAATAGCATTATTCATATCTATGTGGTGATGTCTATATTTAGTGGACGAGTGGGAACCAATAACAGCTATATTTTCAATTTTAATTGGATTTTAAGTTGAGCAAAACATGCTAAAGTTTCTTGCTAGTGAAAGATGAAACTTAAAAAAAAAATTATGTACAACTAAAGGCAATTGTACTCTATGTAGAATCAGTTTCTTTGTTTTGTCAAAAAATGTAGCAAGTTTAGCAACCCAAGTAACACCTGTTTTGTCAACCAACATCAGAAACGAAAGACTTCCAATATTTTACCTTCATAATCTTATGATTAGAACATCATTTCATGCTTAAAGAAGACAACATCAAGGTAGTAATGGAGATGTCTAGTGTTGCATCAATTCAGCATAACAATGTACTCAAGTGTACAAAACTTCGATCCCCCAACTAGCATTTTTGTCAATCCCACTTTCACTGGTGAAAGGGTTTAATCAAAGTTGCACTGAGGGTAAAAAATAATTAATTTATAACATGGAGTATGTGTTATACATACACATTATGTCAAAGTGCCAAACTAAATGCTTACACAAACTCGATCTTATGGCAAGAATGTCAAGCGGCATATTCCCGTTGAAAAAATCAATGAGCAAAGGCATATAAGTCTAGTCTCATAATGGATGATCTCGAAGAAAAACCAATCAAGGGAAATATATGTCGAACCAAAATTTTCAACTCCATGTTATAGGTAGGAGAACGAACACTTACTCGCAAAGTAAAGCTAGGATAATAATTTCTTTCGTAACAGAATTAGCCACATGAATATGCAATGTCAATTGGTCAATGAATTATCATCCATGATTGGAAAACTTAAGCCCGAAATTTAACATAGCCGCAATATAACACTGAAAAGTTCAGTTTTATTCAAGCTTGAATGATGAAAAATCATAGACTCTTCCACCATTGTACAAGTCAATTCTTTCAATGATCGAATAGATTAACGGATGTTTTTCAGCTTCATCTTGATTTTTCTAGTCGAATCCATCTTCTCAATCATCATAACACAATATTTAACACTTGTGTTGTGGTTGGGCGCTCTCTCTCTCTCTCTCGTTTCGTTACGCACCAACTTATGGGGTGGGTTGGGGTATGGTTCTAATTTCTTCATTTCTTGACATCAACCAATGACTTCAATTTGTTCCTTCTCTCTCCTAATTGGCAAATAACGCGGTTAAGCCAAATAACGCGGAATTGAAGCTTCTTCCTATCCTTTTCCTTCAATTCTTGACTTATTTTCATTCAATTATAATTTTAAATTCATAGAAACTTCTTTTCTCATTATTCCAATTTTATGACATGACATGAAGTTTTTTTAACACAAACCCAAGTTAGTTACACAAAAAGTTAAGGTATAACGTGTGAAATTTCTATAAAATAAACTATATTTAGATTCGTGAGAAAAAAAAAACTTTTATTTTTTTCATGATTTAATGCAAGATATATGTGTAAAGTCCTATAGAAATTTTCATTAAAAGTATAGCTGTTATATTCCAAATATTTCATTTCCGTACTTATTTCTCTGATGTTTAATATTGTGCGAGCTGTTTCATTTGACGAAACATGTATGCGTGGATGTTAAATGGATGTGTTATCTACAGGATGTGTGACTAAAAAGGCATAGTTATTCCGAAAAATTGATTATCTTTAATAAAAAACTAAATAATGAGGGTTCTGCCTATATTGAAAATTTCTCTCTTGGATAATTTTGTCTTTTTAACCAAACATCACAGGTGGGTGTCTGTGACTATTTAACATCTAATTGATACTTTTTGTCAGAGATTAATTCACGCATAATGTTAAAAGAGATATACTTGATGTACACATTTGGGTGTACATTATGCATTACACTTCTCTCACAATGGTAGGAGGCCCGCAATTTAAAAAAATTACGAACCCCGCACTCCATTGTGAGAGGAGTGTAAGTCTTAATGTACACAAGACTTATTCATGTTAAAAATTGAGAATGTGTACTACAAAAGTATTAATTTATAGGTAGCTTGATGGTGTGGTGGGAAATTGGCCATTTGACATGGTCAGCAATAGGATTTACAGTCTATCGATGGCCCCATATGATTAACTGAATGAATATATATATTTCCAAATTCCTTTTCCCATTCAAAAAAAAGAAAAAAAAGAGACCCCACTTTTCCAAGACTATTCTGCTTTATATTTCCATCTATTTACTCACTACTTCATCACTAAGAATCGCCTTTTTCCTCAGTTACAAAAAGTTCCATTATCTCCTTCCCCCCTTCCTATTTCCTCTTTTTATCTTGTGCAGTTAGTGGCGATTTTATTTAACGGAATTCATTTTACCCTCGAAAAACGTATAGTTTTATGTTTCTCGATCAGTCTCAGAATATATATATTTGAGCTGATTCATGTTTCTCCTATAAAAAAATGATCCAAATTTAAGCTTTTCTTGATCAAATACCAAAAGAATATAACTGCAAATTTTCTTTAAGATTTTTCCAATGGAAAAAGTTGGTGCTTGGGACACAAAGATTGTCATCAGTGAGCTAACACAAGGTAGAGACCTTGCAAATGAGCTGAAAAACCAACTTCAGCCCGCAAAATCGCGCGAGGCATGTGGATATTTGGTGGAGAAAATACTTTCGTCTTATAATAATGCATTGTCAGTGCTCAACTGCATGGCTTTTCTTGAAAATCCTTCACAAATTAATGGCCTGTTGGGATCTACTAGCCCAAGAAGCAGTGAGGGCTCTGATCTTATCGACTCTAAACGTGTCCTGAAGAAAAGGTAAATCTTAGATAGTTTCGTCCTTTTTTCATAGTAAAGAATTCATTTCAAAGCAAATTAATTCATTTTTTGGGGGATTTTTTTTATGGATTGGTTTACAGAAAGAAATTAGCAAAATGGAGTGAGCAAGTGAGAGTTTGCTGGGGAACAGGACTAGAAGGCCCTCTTGATGATGGATATAATTGGAGAAAATATGGGCAGAAAAATATTTTAGGGGCTAAATTTCCAAGGTGAGGCATTCTTCATTTTATGATGTTAATACTGCAATTAACTTTTTGCCGCAAATATAGAAACAATAAAGCATGTTTGATATGCAGTATTTGATAGATTTCCTACCTAGTATTGTACCATCTAACTTATCAAAAGAACGACTGAGGTTCAAGAGTTAGACAGGTTTAATGGGACTTTAAGGCTGTGAAAGTTTTATAAAGCTGATGAAGTTAATTTGGACTCTTAATAATATTGTACTGAATCTTATCTTGGACATGTCCTGTTTTCACGTGGTTAAGAAACCTACGTGGCATATTTTGTATATTTGGTATACGGGTACTAAGTGCGACTGAACATACAATAGTAATCCTGCCTATTGCTAAACAGTCCACCTCGCCAAACAAACCAGTAGGTCTAGTATTCTAATGGGATTTTACGGCTGATAAGGTGAATTGAAGATGATGAAACCAATTTCTGATATGTCTTTCTTCTTTCTCAATTATAATACATCGTACTATGACTTATCTTGTTGCTGCTCTGTCGTCCCATTGACCTCATCGTTTTCACAGGAAAAATTGCTCTTTTTTTGTGTCCAATGTTGAGTTTTTTTGCAATTACGTACAGGGCTTATTACAGATGTACACATCAAAACACACAAGGATGTTTGGCAATAAAACAGGTTCAAAGAACAGATGAAGACACTTCGATTTTTGAGGTCACGTATAGAGGAAGACACAGTTGCATTCAAGAAAGGCTAAAACAGAAAGAAAAATCTTTAATATTAAAGAAAGAAGAAGAAGACATTCAAAGACATGAAGCTCCACAGAATATGATCATTCTTAAAAATGAAACTCAAGAATTGGATATAAAGGAAGAAATTTTCCCTTCCTTTGAATTGTTTTCAGAGCCTATGAAGGAAAGCAATTTCTCAGCAAGTTATTCACCTCCATTTTTTTCTCCAACTACATCCAAGTCATATTTCTCGAGGATGAACGATTTCGAGATTCATCACAATTTTCAAACTTCAGAATCGGATTTCAGTGAGATAATTTCGAATCCAGCATCTGTCACTAACTCCCCCTTGGGAGATTTGGATTTTTCAACTGATCCGGTGGATTTCGACCCTAAATTTCTTGACTCCATAGAATATTTCTAGTTTCTGAATGCTAGTAATATATGATCCAGGGTGATATTTAGTAGTTTCTATTGGCATGTGAAATTTTTTACTCTCAAGTTGTTAGTCAAGAGAATTTTCCTTGTGTATGTTTTGATTATGAGTCAAATTAGTTTTCATGAATCAGTATTGTTGATTGATACCTTATGATTATAGATGATATCCTGTTCTTTTATGTATGTTGTCTTCGTATGTTACGAGTGGGTGACGAGGTCGTACAGTCTGTCTTGGGTCATCCCGATGAGCTCGACCATCTTTGAGCACATACTGTCTCTATCGAGCTTGCAGATTCATTCCCCATTCTGCCTCAGAATATAATCTTCCCCTTATTGGGAAACATATATTTGAGCTGATTCATGCTTTTCTCTATAATAAAGTGATCCTTTCAACTGTACTGAAAGTTGTGATCCAACTTTGAACTTTTCTTGATCAAACTCGTAAAGAATTTCCCTGCAAATTGTTTTAAGATTTTCCAATGGATAATTCTTGGGACAGAATGGCTGTCATTGGTGATCTCACACAAGGTAGACACCTTGCAAATGAGCCCACGAGGCCTGTGGACTTTCGGGGAGGGTAGAAGGCCCTCTTGATGATGGATATAACTGGATAAACGACATATGTTTGGTACGCAATATTAAATAAGTTCATTTGTACTACCTAGTATTGTAGTGTCTACCTTACCATACGGATGAGCAAGGTACAAGAGATAGTAATGGAAATCCTAGTAGAGATATTATATGAAAGACTTTTCAATTAAAATACTTTAGTTATTTCGTACTTAAATTAGCTTAGTTTTAAACCCTAAATAGTGGAAGCTTATGTATTGTAATGGTTAAAATTGATTATTGAATAAACTCATATTTTTCCCCGTAATTTCTCTGGTTCTCTACCCTTTCTTCTCTCTCTCTCTCTCTCTCCATGTATTCTCAAGTCTCAGTCTTGTTCGTTGCATCATATGTCACAGTAATGGGACTTTAAGGCTGAGAAGGTGTTTTAATGCTGAAGTTAATTTAGACATGTCCTGTCTTCTTACATCTTATTTTAATATACAATCGAATCTTAAAAACATTGTACTGGAAATTATCTACTTGCTGCTTTGTGGCCCCTTTGATGAAATTTGTTTGGACATGCTAACCGAGTTAAGGAAATTGGGAGGCATATATGGTACCTAGAACTATATATGACTGAATTATACAGTACCGTACAGTCCACCTCACCAAACGAACCAGCAGATCTTATAATCTAATGGGACTTTACAGCTGAGAAGGTGAACTAAAGATGATGAAGCCAATTCCGACATGTCTGTCTTCATACATCTGAATTATTATTCAACATAACCCTAAAAACATTGTACTAGGACTTATCTAGTTGCTGCTCTGTGGCCCCTCAGATTTCGTCGTTTCCACAGTGGAAGATTGCTCTCTTGTGTGTCTAATGTCGAGTTATTTTGCAATTACTTACCGTGTGTAACGTCCAGAAAATTTTATAGAATAAAATTTATTTATTCTATATACTATATATTAATATATTGAAAAGTTGAATGATTAAAGTAAAGTATATTTTAAATTCCTTTTATTTTGACCATGTAATTAGATTTTGACGGAGGAAAAATAAGTGTGTCGATATTGAACTATTTTTGTAGCTCGTAATTAATTAGAAGTTTTCAACACGAGAAAAATTATTTTGGATTAGACTACTTCAAGTTAAGTCCAACTAAAAGAATAATAGGTTAATAGAGTTGGGGGGGACCTTGCAAATTGCAATATTAATAAAATTATTTTCCTCTTTTAATCCCTACCACACTTGATTTTTATTTGATATGAAAACAATAGTGTAGTACAATTCAACTGATATTTTTTAAAACCAAGTCCATGTTGATCATGTATCCTATTTTAAAATGAAAAATTTAATTATATGATTGGTAATTAATTAAACCTGGTTTATGACTTAAATTTTTATGGTAGCCACGTGTGAGAAGATAAATGTTGATTTTGATAATGATAATTTTTTTGTGATTTGGATAGAGTTTAATTGTAATCTTAATTTNTTTGTGATTTTGATAAAGTTTAATTGTAATTTTAATTTGATAAAGTTTAATAGTAATCATAATTCTATTATTTTAAATAAGTTCTTATCTAAATTGCTTATATTACACCATTTTTCAATTCTAGTTACATACAAACTCAAGTGAGAATTTTAACTATAAATACTGTAAGAATTCAACTATAAATACTGCAGAAATTCTCATTATTTCACCACAAGAAATAAAGAGAGCCACGGTAGAGAGAGAAGGAAAGGAGAGGAAAGGGTATATAAAAATAATAGGAGAACTTTTACTTGCAAGATTTTATTATTTTCAACATTTCAAAATCAATGTAAGATACTCATGTGCAAGTGGTTTGTTTCTTTATATTTTTATATTCAGTAATTTATGCATGAAGTGATGTGGACCTTCGGATTTTTTATTAAGAGATTTTTATTAAGAGATACGAAATCCTTGAGGAATTTAAGATGACCTAATATGGGTGTATCGTTTGATCACCGAATATATTTCATAAGGGAAAAATGATATGAAGTGTTTATTTTATTATTATATAATTGTTTCTGAAAACTGCACGTTACTGGATATTTTTAAACACTCATTATTACAAAAATTTTACGGTTAGTTTGGGTCGATTGAATTTGTGACAGAATGGTGATGCGAGCTGTCAAGGGAATAGGAGGAAAAATATGCATTAAGTTTTTTCTTTTTTTTTTCTGGCTTCAATTTATTAGTTAATCTAATTCGTCAAAGACATATTATTTAATTGAGTAATGTTACTTGCAGTCGTTCACTGCAGCAGTCGCCCTATGTGGCACATACGTGGCATGTAGTTATTTGATGCATTATTGTAGTAGTTTTTTACTACATTTAATGTATTAAATACACACTTAACATGCGTATGCCACATAGAGCGACTGCTGCAGTGAGTGACTGCAAGTAGCATTATTCTATTTAATTAGATAAATGATTATGTTATTTTTTTTAAAGATACAATTTTCATAGTTAGTTTAAATTTATGAATATTCCAGTTATTTTACTTATCGTTCCGCATTTAACGTAAAAAGAAGTTTTTGTTAATACATTAAACTTTATGAAAATTTGGGGTGTTATACGGCGTGTATTACAGATGTACACATCAAAACAGGCAATGATATTTCGGCAACAAAAGAGGTTCAAAGAACATATGAAGATAGTTAGATTTTCGAGGTCACATATAGAGAATGACATAGTTTTATTCTAAAAGAGTAATACTATTTAGTCACATTGGAATTACAGCCTCAGTTTATGTGGCGTTAATGTGGCGTTAAATGATGGATGAAATTAAATAAATCATTTAATTTAACATTTCATTTAACCTATAATTTAGAGGCACCTAAACTAGGGTTAAAACCTCAATGGGGCTACATAGCATTACTCATTCTAGAAAGGCTAAAATAGAAGAAAGAAGACATGAAGCTCAACAAAAGATGATCTTTCTTGAAAATGAAACCCAAGAATTGGACTGTGGATGAAGTTTTCCCTTCCTTTTCCTCAGCAAGTTATTCGCCTCTGTTTTTATTTCCAACGACGTATGAGTCATATTTCTCAAGGATGAACAATTTCGAGATTAATCACAATTTGCAAACTTTAAAGTTCGGATTTCACTGAGATAATTTCCTGACATCCGTTAGAAACTCCTTGTTCAGAGATTTGGATTTCTTAATTGATCCTCTGGGTATAGACCCTAAATTGTTTGATACCTTATAGCATTTCTAATTTCTTAAGGTTTATAATATGCAGTACCTGTTGATCCTGGCTGACATTGAGTCTCCTTCAGATGTTGGCTAGAGAATTTTCTCATTAACTTTAGATATGTATGTTCCAATTTTTAATGCAATTAGTTGTCCTAAATCAGAGTCATTGAATGATACCTTACAATATTAATGACTATAGATCACTCCCGGTTTTTAAAGTGTGTTGCTTTCATATTTTACGAGTGGGTGATGAGACCATACAGTCTTTGAGCACGTATGGTATGGAACATGTTTGGATGGAGCTTAAGAAACTTTCTTATAAGCTAAGAAAGTGCAGAATCCACACCCTCTACTTATGGCATCTTATAATTGCGGGTTACGCTAAGTAGAGGGATCTACTTATGGCATCTTGCAAGTCACACAAAAGTGATTCTCTGTTGAGCTTACCATGAGATCGCAAACAGAATTTCTTGCCAATGAGAACTGGACATGAGCCCATATCCCCATGTGCTTTGATATGCCATGGCTGGGTTCATTGGTAAACTTTAACCTTCATTTGCATATCAACTCAATAAATACATGGAATATGGAAGCAGTACTAATGTCTATTCAAATATTAAAATCTCAGATAGTACACATTAAAGTGTCACAACTAGAGACAAGAACATATCACATAAAAATCTGATCCAAAAACCTTTTATAAAATTCTGAAGTACATATCATACATAATGAAGCCTACAAAGTAAGATCTTTGGACAACATCATAACTAGTCATTTGTTGACATCCGACGAAAAGTTCAAGCCTTACCTCATGTGGCCAGGGGGGGGTTCATATTCAGCAAGAACTTGAGCAATTACAAAAATTAATTCCATTTCAAATTTCACTGCCAGGATACGAACCATGGTGTTGGGGTTCGAATGTGTATGAAACAGAAGGACAGATCTCTGAGCTGATGGTCACCACTGCAACTGTTCAAAACAAGAGAGTAACCGCTAACCACTAAAGTGTGTAACCTTCAGAAATTAATCTATTGTTATTATTGATTTTTCTTTTCAACCCTTTCCACTATTTCCAAGTCCTGAAATCATTAGCCATCCATTTCTGCAATAGACACCAAAATGCTGCATCTCATAGACATCACAGCCGCAAATAAATCAGTACAACGAAGAATATTTTTCCAGAAAAAGGATGCAACGTGCAACAATGAATCCCCCTCCACCAACCAAATAAGAATACCAGTCATCTTCCCTTACGAGTTCCAATAATATCATCTTTCCATGAGCCTATATCGACATAATCACTATACAAGTCTTCATACAGAGAGTGGTCAACAAACTAGAAGGGTGCGCTTCTGTTGGCACAAGCTGAAAGTGTTATTACTAAGCAAGTAATTGAGCTGGTACCCCATCCAAAGTAACTGGATTCTCATCCTTCCCACCACGAACATCCCTAGACATGTGAACCATGACAAAAAATTTTGAGTTATGATGTTATTAGCAACAATATTAAAAATTAGCATGAAAGACACACATTCCATTAGTTAATCATTATAAATGTCATTGTTAACACATAGAAATGCATGCAAATACATTAGCACCAACTAGACTCAGTTAAGCATAAAAGTGCATTTCATTAATGAATTATTACTATTCTTCAATTTTAACTTTTAAATGCAAGATTAATGATATAGCTCAATTAAATCTCAAGAGTATACTCTGTCATGTCATTACTTTTATTCCATTGCCATTCTCTCAATTTCACCAAACACCATAGTGAAATCAAATTGGGAATCTTCAATATCACTTCCTCTTCCCTATGTCCATGATGCACCGACACAGACGCGTGTGTCCGACACGATACGTGTCGGATAAGTTGACACGCGATTTTTAAAAAAAAGTACAGACACAACACGTTATAGACACGTTGATTAAATTCTTAAAAATTCTTCATTTATATAATATAAATTTAATTTTATACTTGTTATTAATTTTTTTTGTTGAAATCTTTTAAACATTAGTACATATTTGTTACTTGCTAATAATTTTGAATTAACAATATATAATATTTCTAATATAAAAAAAAAATGATTACGATAGAGTGTCTCCACTCGTGTATGATACGTGTCCGACACGGACACGCTACCCTAATTGAAGTGTCTGTGCTACAGAGCCTATGTCAAACCTAATGTTTAAAAGGCCAAATCAAGTGTCGAGGAGTTTTGCTTCCATCATGCAACCTTTGAGGCACTCAAGGTATAAGCCTCAACATAAAGTTGGTAGTCTTAGCCTCCATTTGGCAAAATTTATAATTGATCAAACTTCATTTTCCACACATTCCAATGGGCCCAAAAGTACTATCCATCACACATTTCTACCCACTTATAAATTAAATCGTTTATAAATTCTTGCCAAACGGTGGCTTTAATTGTGCCTCTTTCATTTATTTATTTATTTTATTTTATTTTTTGCTGTATCATTTTATCCCACATATCAAAACACCCAATTGGTGCATCCATTAGGAACAGAATTCATATATAAATATGGTTTGAGTCATAATTCTAAATAAAAATATTTGAAACCATTAATTAAAATAAGTCCTTCCTAATCCAATTAGGAATATCTTATTTCCATTTTGGATATCCGTGATTTTAAACAAATAAATCATGCAATTATGAAGTGATTACTGCTAGAAGCTTGGAATGGAGATACATAAATGAAGAAGTCGATTACCACTTAAGTTACTCCAAATAAGGATCCTAATATGTGGTTAGGTTTTGGTTAGGTTTTGCAACAAATCATTTATACGCTGTAAAATTAATTGAGTTTGGATGATATATAACTGAAGCAAAAGTTTTTGCGTGTTTTAATAAATGTTGCATTTGTTGAATTAAGGCTCAGGTTTCGAAATTTAATCATTTCCAATGGAGACTGGAAACTTAACTGAACAAAATTAATTTTTTGGGTCAGTTTTCATCTAGTTATTATTGAACTGATATATTTGGTTTAGCTTTTAATTCTGCTGTAGGACAGATCAAAGATAACCTTTAAAGATGGAAATGTGCCTCCACATCCAGTTTTACCGATATAAAGTTCAACAGACAAACATAGTCACTCTATTAATGAAGAGGAGATTCAGATATGTTCGTACATGGGTAGCTAAATTCTTTCAAAGAAAAGTCTATTTATACTCCAAGGCATTAAACAAGAGATAAAAGGTCCAAATATGGAGACATGGAATCAGAGAGGACCTATTAGCACCAAAGATAAGCACCAATAACAGATGCAAATAACTGTACAAAAGTTGGTCATAGAGATACCTACGCTTCTTATATTTCTGGCTTCCAAGTCGCATATTTCCCAGCTAAAATGACTATAGAGGAACTCTCAGATATAGGAAATTTAACAAAAGATGACCAATAATACCTCCATCATTCCCACAGTTGAACAAAAAGGATTCTCAAACGCACCAACTGAAAACCTCCCAAACAAATGACAAGCATGATAATGCTATATCCTTTAAACTCATTCTCTGAATGTACTACCAAAATGTATTGCAAAAGAAGCGGCAACTTTTCTACAGCACGCTTATTCTACAATCAGCACATAAGGAATGTTTTGGTTTTTTCAACAAAGGCTCATCTGAATCCACTAGCAATCTCTTCCTTGCCTTAGATATGGATTTGGAGCGCTCAAAACTTGAGTGACAATGACTAAAGCAACCAACTGTTTTCTTATTCTGATTCCCCAGTGGATTAACCTCAGGTTTGGCACTTGTTCTTTCCTGGGGTGAAATCATATCCTCTATTATATCAATGATTTCATGATTGGCACTTTCATCAGTCAATTTCGAAACCAAATTAGCCTCAGATTCCACTTGGGATTCTTTTCGTTTCTCATTAGACTTCTTTTTCGTAGTCGAATTATTATCATCCAAATCAGTAAATCTATCCGTAGAGGCATTGGCATTAGTCAACATACTTCGAGTAAAGTATTTATCTGATTTTACCTCAGAAACTTTTTCCAGTTTCTTCGAATTCAGCAATTCAGACATCAATTCATACCTAGAATTCATAGTTGCCTCTGAAACAAATGCATGTTTCCTAAATTCGGACATGACAGAAACCATGTACCTAACATCATCATCATCCATAACAGAATCTTGATCCCACAAAGCTAGTTCCTTGAGCTCTTCCACCAACAAAATTGAATTTTCACCATAAGGGTCTCCAGCCTCCAAATTCGTTTCCTCTTCTCGGGGCATTGGGGGCAGGGAATCTTGAAAATTAATGCAGAGTATGGAAGTGTCTACATAGCCTTGTAATAGGAGTGGATCTTCTTCATGACACGCTTTGCAACAGGAAGGAGTCGTAGCTTGATCATTCTTGTCAAGGCAAAGTTCACTAAGGGGTAGTTGAGAATCTTGCACGGAATTGAGGGGCGATTGCGAATCTTGAAGTGAAGACGAACAGCCTTGTTGTTGGTTATTGGGGCTATTGGGTGGGGTTGGGTTAAAGCAGAGATAGAGAGAAAGAAGGTGTTGAGGAACAGGGCCAAAGAGACAGTATTCTACGCGGTGGAGGTCGGCGGCGGAGGGGTGGGGCAGTGGAGGCAATTGGGGGAGTCGGAAGGAAGGGGTTTTACAGAGGTGCCAAATAGAGGCATAAGGATCACCTGCATAAGAATCCATTCTACTGCAAAATCACACAATAGGAATTCTTGTTTTGCGGTGGCGGTGGTCTGGTTGGGCTTTTGTAACCTTTTTCGTTTGTCAGTTAAATATAGTCTGCCATGAGTAAGCCAGGAGACTTCTCTTCCGATATCCCGAGTGTTGGACGGAAGGGTCAAATTCAAAGCTAAAGCAAGTTTTGGTGTATTGGCACTAATTATTTATATTAACTAATTATTTTGAGAATAAGCCTAAAAAGAAGAAAGAGAAAAATTTTGAAACCCTTCAAAAAATAAAATTATTTCTCTATTACGTCCACTTTTTTGGACAAATATAAAAGTTATTTCAAAGTAACTTAAATATATTAAAGGGAAAATGGCAGTCACGGTACCAAACTTTTCCAATATTCACACACTTTGTCCAAACCTTTGTTTTGTGCCACCAGAGGTACCAAACGTTTCAAAAATATGCACTGGAGGTCCATCTGGACGGATTTGTCCAAAAAGTCAAAATTAATTCAATTTTGACAAAATTAGAAGGGGTAAAATAGGAATTTTATGATTTATTCTCATAAAATAATTAAAATAACCCCACCCCATCCCATCCCATCCCATCCCATCCCATAGAAAATCAACCACCATCCCTCCCATGGTCACCATTGGTCCTGTCGCCACACTCTCACGACCACCATCACCACCTCAAGAACAATTATTACGGCAACCCTCAATATCTGGATGTGCAATCTGTGCAAAAATTTTCAACAAAAAAAAAACCCAAAAATATCCAACTCTCAAGCCTTTTCCCAGTCATCAATGACGATTCCGAAAACCCTAAATCCAGAAAGCCACTGTCTCATCATCCTCTTAACTCTACTCCTCTCCGTAGAATCAAGAATCGACACAAATAGTGTCTTCTCTCCGTGTGACAATACGAAGGTGCAGAGGAAGGAAGGATGGATTCACTCCTAGGTCACTATTTTCCGCTTCTTTCCGGTACTAACAATTTCAATACCTCCAGCTTCTTCCCGGTACTAATACTACTTCTATAAATCTGCTTGTTGGTATTAATTAGTTAATCGTTGGTCGTGGGTGGTGGTGGTGGTGGTGGTGGTTGTGGGAGATGGTGAGTGGGTTTGTGAGAAGCATGGGTTTTAGGTACAAGAGGCGATGGAGAGGAAATGAGGTGGGGTATTTGCAGAAGGTGGGGTTTTTTACATACAGCAAAAATTGGCTGGGTGATTTTGACATACAACAGATTTGCATTTACAGGCAGCACAAATTGAAGGTTGTGGTGGGAGAGGTCTGTTCTCCAACCCTACATCTTCAACCTTTTCGGCCTTCAACGTTTGCCTCTACACCCGTCCTGCAACTTCTCCATTTTCTCAATACACGCCTCAATGAACACCACATTCTCGAGTGCTACCACTGCCACAGCAGCTGTCATTACCAACGTGGATGGGAGGCTGTGGTGGGGTGGGTGGTCACCGACGTTGAGACTATAGTAGGTGGCTGATTATTTGGGTTGGGGTGGGTGGGGTGATATTTTAATTATTTTATGGGAAAAAAATAGTAAAATGGCCATTTTGCCCTTTTTAATTTGGTCAAAATTGATTCAATTTTGAATTTTCTAATCAGTTTTGACTTTTTTGGGTTGACTAATAGTCAACTGGACATAATCCGTTTGGTACCTTCGGTATCACAAAACAAAAGTTTGGACAAAGTTTGCGAAAATTGAAAATGTTTGGTACCGTGGCTGCAATTTTCCCTATATTAAATACTTGTATTCTAGATGTTTGTTCTTATTTTGATTTACCCCGTAAGCTCGTCAACCTTTCAAATGGTACGATTATGAGTCTCTAAACTACGAAAAATGAAATTTTAGATCTTCATCTATTCAAGTCTATGAACCCGAATCCCACATGATCAAAACTGTCGATGATTAAATCAGACACAAAAATTTTATGGCATTGATCCTACATTATTATAGAACAACAGGCATCAAATCTAAGGCAAATGCTTTCTTCATATTGGAGGCTTAACTAAGAAGTAAGACGAGTATAAACCCTTTACAACCACTAATAAAACAACCCTACCCATACGCATGGGGATCCTCGGTTCCTAGTTGAACTACATAAAAGCCAGAAGACACTAGTTCCACAACAGTAAATCTTCTATAAACAACCAGTTCACATTTTTCACAAGGTCATTATTTTGCTTCGTCTCCATCTCCGCTAGCATCAGCACCAGAGGCCTGACCCTCGGGTTTATCTTGGTTTACTCCTCGCACATTATTTGCCCCTGAATTTGAAGTGGGAATACCACTGCTGCCTCCTCCAAGAGTGGAGTCATTGTGTGTGGGTTGTGCACCATTGCTGGCACCACCAGGCCGTAAAACCATTTGTACTTGCATGGCTTGTTGGGTTAGATGCTGCTGTTGATCTTGAATTGGATGTGGATTGTTGAACTGTAAGGGTGCTCTTGGGGGAAAGATACCTGGCTGCTGAGCCATGGCTGCAGCCCGAGGATGCTGCGCATAATACCCTCCTTGTTGCATTGCTGGATGTGGAGACATCTGCATGTGCCAACATGTGAATAAGATGTCTGCAAAATCATTAGTAAACTGAAACTGGCTGGCATCAAGATACCTGGGGAGGCATTGCTGGTGTCTGCGGTTGGGCATCAGCAATTGCAGCCAAATACATCAAATTCTTTTGAAGTTGCGCCTGGTACCTGATCATCCAGAACCACACGTTTGAAGTAAAAAAAACACATCCATAAAGTTTTTAAATAAACTAATAAAGATCATTTTCCAAAAACACGGGAGGATATATGAATCATGTTTAGCAGTTGTGCACTACAGAGAGCTGTGTCTTCACTGAACTAAGGATCAAGAGCCGTGACAAAAGACCATAATGCAGATGCATGATTTATGAATTCGTCCTGGTAAATATTGTAATCCTGGTTTTAACAACTTGTAGCACATTAACAAGCAATTAGAAATCTTGAACCCATGGATCTAGTCACTTCGAAGAACCAGAATATTAAAGTCACCAGTCACCCCATCTCCAACAAGAATATTGGAAGGAAAAAGGAAATAGTGGATCTCGATCTACACTAAAAAATGTGGTAAAAAACAAACAAGTTTAGCAGTTAACTGTAGATACTATACTTATCATTCAATAATACCACACAAACTAAAACAGATAATGAGCCAGTTACAGTATGTATGTCCCTACAGCACTGCAAGTAAACCATAGATGAACACATAATCTTAAAGATATCTGAACGACTTAAAATGATATGGATCTCTCTTTGACATGAAAAACAAAATTAGCTATCATTTAGCAATATCTGAAACCCTTTTTTTTAACAAAAGATGTCATCAGGGAAAGCGCACCAATACAACAGAGGATGCAGAGAACCACTTACTGGGCACATTCGGCAAGTTTGCCAAGATTTTGATTGTCTATAATTGCCAAGATCAATTTCTTGTTCTCATCAAGGTACTGCACCATATATTGGAAACGACATTACACGTCATAATACAAATTATACTGCAAAATCTGATGGTAGAAACTGCGAAGTGTGATAAAGATCCACATATATGATCATTTTTTTGAAAGTTGAGTACATATTATATGAAAAATGAGATCATTCACACTTGCAATTTTGCCTGTGATGTCTAGTTCATTCTTGTATGCAGGGGTGGACTCAACACTCGGCGAGCCCCCGCGGCCGCCCGTGCTGGATCCGCCAAGAACAATTTTTTTTGGTTGACAATGAATAAACGTTTTAGATTATATACCTAGTAATTTGTTTTATTTTTATAGCTCAACTGGGTAGAGCTCCTATATTCATATAGGAGGTCTTGTTTTCGAATCTCTTTTCCACCATTTTTATTGTGCAAGATTTTTAATACTTTAATTTTTACCTTTTACCAAAATTAAATGAGATGAAGAGGTGATTCGAAACCATGACCCCTCCTTAGGATAATGAGAGCTTGACCATTGTGGCACTTCTTGAATTTAATTCCAAATCTACCAGAATAATATATGTTACATTTTCGCAGGTATAATGCAATTCTAAAAATTTGAACCTAAGCTCTTCCTTTGAATTATATAAAACTTGGTCACAATATTATTTGGTGNGCCCGTTTGTGTTCATCACCAATTCGCATTTCTTGGAAATTCTTTTAGGTTAATCACCAAGCATACTATGGGAAAAGTGTGTTTCTATCAAAGCTGAGTTGCTATGAGAATGTCGAGTTTTAAATATATCGAGCTACATGTCCAAAACCACAAATCATCAATAACTCGAATTTTCCAAAATGAAATATGCAAGCACATCGAGAAATATTGTATGTCGAAAATCATTCGTTATACATACACACAATAAGGTGAAATTGGACATTAAGTGTGTTTGATGCATATTAAAATGAGAGAGTGCATTTTTTTGAAGTGATGTGATGGGGAATATGTGATTGAAAAAGACGGTAAAATTATTGACATGATAAAAAATATTATTTTATTGAAGAATGTGTGGTTGAAAATGAGTAGAAGAATGAGAATGAAAAAAATAATATGGCTCAAACGGGGGACTAAGTTCAACTAAACTAGAGTACCTCTCTCAAGGGATGAAAACTTTTCAGACTAAAATAGACCTACAAAGTGGAGATTGTTTCAAAATGTTTAGGGTTCTCTTTACCACTTTCAAGCCGTTTTCTATTTTGAATTTTCCAAAATAATGAAAACGCGTTCTCTTTCCCATTTTCGAAAACGCATTTTCAAAGCATATTTTGAGTGTTTTCAAAAAAAAATTCTAAAATGTTAAAAAGAACACATTTTCAACAATCTCAAAATAGACACTCAAAACCCAAAACCCAAAATGAATTCAAAACTTAAAATACAAAACTCAAACACAAAGAAAACAGCTCCTAAACTTCCCGTAAGGTTTTGAAAAGGAATTTTGTTGCTGTGGCAAGTTGGAATTACAAATCTTCTACCAATCATTACTCCACTCCTAATGGTAATGACTTTTCTTGCCTCTCCAATTAATTCTCTGTCGGAAAAGTGAAGGGACAAAGAGTCTTCAGAGTCCAAGAGCTTTATACTGATGTTCTCATGAGTAACATAGCTGGTACCTGGTACCTGGAACTGCTGGTCAAACAGCTGTGAAATGGTATACCCACTCAGAGACAGTAAATGGTACTCAGAAGTGAAATTTGAGGCCATTGCAAATTATGGTTGGCAGTTGTATGCAGTGAGGTTGTGCCTGAAACAGGGATATTGTTGGCCATATGACAAGGCTACAGGGCAATGGAAAACTGAGGACAAAAGGCGACTTTAATCACCCAATATCACTACATTAGCATAGGCCAACATGAAGCCGACCTAAATTGTGGCCTTTACTACTTTTACCTATTGCAGGTTCATATCTACACACAACAACAGACAGATACTCCTTGAATTTGTAAGGTCAGGAAAAATCATGCATGCAAGCCTCTTTAGCATAATGAAGTAACTAATTCCATTCGACAACCCTTGTGATGTGAAGTATTCTCAAGGTAACAGAGCTGTCATTGATATTCCAATTCAATTTTATTGTTCTCCTAAGTCTCAGAGGCCAGTGCTGTAATAACCTCAAGTAAATTGACGTACAAAGTGACCCCACATATCAAAAAGGGTTATAGTGAACCAAAACATTTCAAGTGATAGATACCACGACTGAAACTAAGGAAAATTGAGCAAGATTAGTTGAGCAAACTGCCACAAATCAAGTAGCCAGAAACAATAATTTTGTCCCGTGTAGAAGGTCATCATACAGGAAGTAGTTCGATCACCAGTCTTGGAAAAATATATTTATAGTTTGCAGGATATACTGACAAGAAGTTGCAATGCAGTTCGCTATCATTGCAGACTCTGATGCATTGAGTGCAAACAGAGAGGCAAATTATTCTCTGCGAATTTCAGAAATGAATGGATAGATGAGTTACTATATGTGTACACACATTTATATAGCTGGACATACTATAAAGATGTGGTAGTATCATTGTGATAATGCAATTTACAATCACCGCTCACTTGGATTTTTTGTGCACAAAGAAGAAGGTAAGTTCTTCAATGCAATTTAGACATGAATTGGTAGATGATTAGTTCAATGGAACCTACATCATCTTGGAATAATTTTGACAGATAAAGCTTATCAGCAACTGTACACGGTTAAAGGAGACAAAGCAAATATTCATTGGATTACATAAATCTATATTCATCCTAAACGAAACAAAGGTGTAATTCCGATTATGTCTATGTCCACATACTTTGCATTTCTTGTTAAAATTTTATGAAACTTCAAATCTTAAGAACATAAAAACCTAATTATTTTCCATTCTCTTTTGAGAGATGTGTCCCGATCACTTGTGTCATAGAAAAATGGAATTCTTATTAGTTAATTTACGTTTAATACCACGTGAATCCACATGCAATGTTTCTTTCTTTATAAGAGGAAACTGTACTAGGCAAATATAAGTTACCATAACCAGATAAAGAACTGGTATCCACAATATTTGAATTAAGAAAAAGACTAAACTGATTATTTCTACATGAACAAGAGTAACCAAATTTGTATAATGTAGAAACAGAAACAAAATTCCTTCTAAAAGACGGTATCACAAACGTATCTTTCAAATCCAAATAATAACTAGTCTTTAATAATAACCTAAAAGTCCTTATAGCCTCAACTTTAAATAATTTGTCATCAACCCACATAAATGAATCTTTCAGCATCAATTAGCTTTCAATTATTCAGACAACCCCGCATAGACACACTTAGGTGAGTAGTGGCACCAAAATTTATCCACCAAATGTGTCTTGATATTGAAACTAAATTAACTTCGGAACAAACCAAAGTGAGAAGTGTACTTTTCTGTACACGTCAAGCATGGTATTTAGTACAATCTCTTTTTATGTGTTCCAGATTTTCACAAAAGTAACACCTCTTTTCCTGGCTTATGCTTTTTTTGCTGTTTTTTTTAGCTCAACTAGATGCAGCTTCCTTATTCTTTAAATTTTCCTTGAAGGTACTTGCCAAGTGAGTATTTTCAGTTCTCTTTTGCTTTAGTCTTTCTTCTTCTTGCACACAATATGAAATAAGTTCATTAAGAGTCCACTTCCCCATTTTCACAGTCGTAATTGACCTTAAATTAGTCGTGCAAAAATAGAAATCAAAACCAAGTGCATGAGCAAGTCATTAGACAACTCAAGCTTTATTGCCTTTGATTTTGAAGCAAGATGAGACAGATTCATGATGTAATTCCTTATGTGTTCTTCAACCTTATACTTTAGTGAAACCAAGTTCGCCGAAGCGTACTAGTTTCGACCTTATCGCTTTTTGCAAAGCGTTTTTCAATTTCTTTAAAAAATTCATTGGCAGTAGTTACTTTATCAAACATAGCACCCCCTAAATGTTATTGAAATTTCACGTTTCATGATCATAAAACTTATGCAGTTTGAACAATCCCACTTATCCGAGTCCTATTTTATTAGCGTAACTCTTATCCATAAGAGTAGTTGGTTGTTCAGTCCTTAAAACAAAGTCTAGATCCATGCCGCCAAGAACTATGCAAACGTTCTCTTTCCAACCCTTAAACTTTGGTTCAAACACAAGAATTGAATTAATGTTGGCAGGTATTATAGAAGTTGATGACTAATTGAATAAAGAACTTAAACCATCACATGTGTGTAAATAATTCAGCAAAATATTGACCTTCCTTTGGGTGAGAGAATATCCGTATGAATTACGTATATACAACCTTCCTAATATTCCAAAGAAATTAATTTAGACAAGAGAAGTTACTTTATTAACGTGTTGTTTCGATTAATCTATTTTAGAAAATTAGTAATTCGAAAAAAACTTTAAATATCAAGATTTGAAATTGATTGCTCCTTTAACCTTTTATTATTATTATTATTATTATTATTTATTTTTATTTTTATTTTTCACAAAAAAAAAAATAAATAAATAAAAGAATGGAACGGAGCAGAATTGCAGCGCTACAGCTACAGCCCAATGAAAAAGCCATCGTAACCCTTGATTATGCATCTTAATCCATTAACCAATTTAGGTGCCATGCACAGTTGGTTACCGATTATAATACACTCAGGCAATAATCTCAACTTGTTAAAGAAAAAGATTGTTTAATCCATTGCTTTAAGACTTGATTCAAAATCAGCAAAAAAAAATCATAATATTGAATCCGGAATAAAGTAATCAATTATAACCGTACTCAAATTCAACAATTAATTCCTAAAATTGTCAAATTTGAAAATACCTAAAAAAATCTAAATTTTAAAATTTAGGGCTAAACCCAAAGCATAAATTTCAACACTAAAATTCTTTCTTAAATCTCAATCGTTTAACATGGAGTTGACTCTAATACCACTTGTTAGAATTTTAAGAAACTTAAAATCATAATAACATGAGAACCTATTTATTTTATTACCAAGATCATCCATGTCAAATAATCAAAAGAATTATTAAACACGAAAGATACCTTAATTTATTGGGAATGTTTATTTAATACTTGATATTGATTCCGAATCTTGATTATAAACTCTTTCGAATTTTGATCTTGATTCCAGATCTTAAATCTTGATTATAGAATCTTTTGACTCTTGAGTTCTTGATCTTGATTTCAGTTTCTTGATCCGTAGTCTTGATTTTTTGATAGTTGATTACGGGTTACGATCATGATTGTAGGTATTAGATCATTCTCTTCAATATGTTTTCTCTTGTATTCTTGTGTTGATGAGATGATAAAAAAAATGAGAAATTACATATGAATTAAGAATCATAACCTTATTTATATAGTTTCCATATGTATTTGGTTCATCATCAAATACAACTCTAATGAATCCGATCTCTACACATATAATTCAGTTCACACTTTATTTAGATGCCCAAAACTCATGACTTTAATTTTTTATTAGATCACTTTAATTGGGCTTAACTTTAAGATAGTCTTTAAACGGGTACTTACAAAAATACCCTTAAAATTAGAAGTGTTTTGAAAAATCATATGAAAGGTTTTTAGGAAGTAAAAAATACCGAGTAAAATGAAAAACTGACATAATGTCATTTTTTTTATAAAAATTGTCACTTTTTTACTTTTTTTAAAAAAAATTAAAAAGTGACACACACTCAAAAAGTGATACAAACTCAAAAAAGTGACAAAACATCAATCAAAACATATGTTTGTTATTCAAAAAAGATAGAAATTTTTAAAAAGTAACAAACAATAAAAAGTGAAAAATATTTCAGAGAAGTGGTAGAAAAAAGTGACAAACACTCGATAAAGTTACAAGCACACAAAAAAGTGATAAAATTGTCACTTTTTAAAAAAAATGTGATGCAATGTCACTTTTAAAAGTTTCGTGTCATTTTTTACAATCTCACTCTTATTAAAAAGTGATGTTCGTTACTAAAAAAGTGATTGAAATTTTAATGTGATGCAATGTCACTTTTAAATGTTGCGTGTGATTTTTTACAAACTCACTCTTATTAAAAAGTGATGTTCGTTACTAAAAAAGTGATTGAAATTTCAAGTAGGCGATTGAAAAAAAGTGACGAACACTAAAAAAAAAAGTGACAAAAATTCAAAAAAAAAAAGTGACAAATACTAAATTAGGGATCTTTTGAAAAATCATATGAAAAGTATTTTGGAAGTAAAAACTACTTTGTAAAATTAAATGTCACTTTTTAATTAAAAAAAGTGACTCAATGTCACTTGTAAAAGTTTAGTGTCACTTTTTATTAAAAAATAAAATAAAATATCACTTTTACTTAAAAAAAAATGATGTTTTCACAAAAAACAAAAAGTGATAGAAATTTCAAGAAGATGACCGAAAAAAAAAATAACACACTAAAAAATGTGACGAAAATTCAAAAAAAGTGACAAATTCAAAAAACTGAAAGAAATTTTAAAAAAATTGACGCAAATTAAAAAAAAAAAGTTACAGAGAGTAAAAAAAAGTGACACAGTATAAAAGTCACAAAGTTCAAAAAAGTGACAATTTAAAAAAAGTGACATAAAATTTAAAAAAAAAAAGATGACAAACACTCAAAAAGTGATGAAGTTCAAAAAATGAAGTTCAATAAATCCACAATTTCGTCTCCATTCACTGAAAATATCTTATGCAACTACATAATTCACTGAATAGGTTTGGGATCTTATGCGATTCATAAATTTTTTAGAGTAGTATTCATGGTGATACTAAAAATAAGTTACAGCACTAACGGGATATCTTAAAACCTATGGTATGCTGGGTTCATTCATGACATGGCCCTATGTGCATAAGTGACTTATGGACAGCGTTTAATAGACAAATGGTAAGGTTAATTAGACCGTAATTGTTTATAAAAGATGAAGATTAACTCAAGGAAAAGTGAATACCTATATGAAGAATAAACAAAATACAGAGAATAGGTTCAAAATCTTGTCCAAAGAGATATTTTCAGGTTCTTTAAATTTCAATGCAAGTTTCAGTTTGCTCAAAAACCCGGATTTCTCTTGGCCTTTGTATACGACAGCCACCGGATTCTTCTTCAAACTCAAAACATCTGAGCTTCCCACTTGCCTAAACTCTCCTGGTGCTCTTATATCAAGCAATTGAGCATTGGAATCATCGGCCAAAACGAAGCCATCGGAATATTCGTTCTACAAGCTACATCAATCGCCCAAGGTATAAAAACGTTGGCGATAACAAGAGTCGGAGAAAACTGAAGCTAGGAGAAGAGGCGGAGCCTCCAAGGGAAACGAAGCACTCCGGGCGTACGATATAGCGGCCAGGGGCGGACCCAACTTAGGCCCAGTGCAGGCACGACCCAGCTTAGGCCAGGGGCGGACCCAACTTAGGCCCAGTGCAGGCACGACCCAGCTTAGGCCCAGTGCAGGCAGATGCCTGCACTGGGCTTTGGGCCGCCCCATTTTTTTGAGTGACCCAAAACTAAAAAATAAATAAATAAAATAAGTGGGCCAATTCTTTGGCCCAAAATGAATGATAAAAGCTTTGCAAACTCCCAACCATATCCACTACAAAACGAGAAGCTGTTGCCCTGCAAACTCCCAGCCCTGCAAGCGGCTGCATCAACAGAGAATTGAGAAATGAGAAGCTCCTGCTGAGTCACTGACTATTGTGTTGCTGCATTCACCATCCTGTCCCTCCACGCACCACGCACTCCCCGGTCCGGCGGACCTGCATCTACGCCATGCACTATAGGTGAGTTTTCTATAATTTCTTCGGTTTCCAAATGGGAATAAGTTATTGCTGTTCGACGTCTGCTATGCCTGATTTGATGTTGCCTGTTCTTTGGGGGAAAATAGGAAGTTAGGAACCAAGTTAATAGTTATTGATGTTGCCTTTGTCGGTTGCTGTTGGCCTGTCGCATGTTGCTGTGTTGCCCGTTTGGGGAAAATTTTGGAAACCAATTGAATTCACCAGTGGCTGGGAGTTGGGACGCATGGGAGGAAATAGGAATAACCACAGTCTGTTTTGTTTGGGCATTTGGGCAAAATTTTGAATTCAATTGGTTTCCTGTTTTAGGATTCTTTCTTGCAACATGTTATAATGTTTTTTTTTTTTTTTAACTTTTACTAATACCGCCCGCACTGGATTAATTTTCTGGGTCCGCCCCTGATAGCGGCCCAAAAATTTCGAGGCCGAGATACAGTCACAAACTTTAACCATTATCGGAAACTGAAGAAGATGATGTTGAATCAACCCAAAGATCCGTCACAATGGATTCCAATCCATTTTCACGTAGAAGATACAGTTAATAAATGGTTAATGAATAAATTAATTATAATTAAGTGTATTAATCAATTCTTTAGGTTTTAGGCCATACTTAGCCTAATTTCCCCGCCTTTAAAACACACTTAATTACCTATGTTGGCCCACACGATAAATTAAAACCAACATTTCCAACTAAAATTTAAACCATGGTTACTTTCCATACACGTTGAAGTAGTAATTCCGCTATCCAACTGGTCGAATCAATATTTAGCCAAGATTTATGATACATATGCCAGATAACTAATAACTAAGTCAATCACCATACAGGACAGAAAAAAAGAAGGATAATCAAACTAGCATTATTACACACAAACATAATCCAATAAAACAAATATCAAAATTCCTCGCCAATTTAAAGAAATAAATAAACCAAAACACGAATACCTTCTGAATCTGCTCAGTAGTAATATTAGCAGGCGGAAATGAAGACATAACTGGGAACATCTGTCCCGGTTGCTGCATCTCTACACCTCTCCTGTTGAATTAAAAAAAAAAAAATTGATCCATCAACAATAAAATTTCAAAAGAAACCCACCAAAAAAAACAAAAAAAAAAAAAACCTTTTTGATCGACAAGAATTACAATCAATTGAAACAGACAAAACGATTTACTTATGGAAATTAAAACAAGAAAAAGTGAAAGTATTTTTTACCTATTTGGGGTTGTTGACTTGTGAATGTTTTGTAAGGTTTTTATTAAGAGAGAACGAACTAAAACTGGAATTCAAGTGAATATTGAGATTTTACCTTTTAGGGGAAGAAGATTTTACTTGTGGATTTTACGCAGCACGAATCCGGTCCCTTTTTCTTTTTCCTATTTTCTGTCGGGCTTTGGAGCCACGAGTTCATAAATGGGTCCCACTTCCGACAGCCAAAATTCATTCGCAAACTCGATGGAGTCCAACTACGCTGTCTCCTTGGATGTTCTACCATAAAATTTTGGTTCACAAGTGTAATTTTTTTTTTTTTTTGGATAATCGTGGGTGTACGAATCAACTTGCACGCACCTCGATTAATCTCACGAGATCCTGAAGTTTACAGTCGGATACTCATCTCAGTGATTCTGAGGGGACTCGAATTGATAAATATTGGAGAGCAAACTCAAAACTTGACCAATTGAGCAACTTCTCAAGGTTAGTTCACAATTGTAATTTTAAGATGCCAAATTTTCGGTATACATAAGTTATCATGCAAAAGTAAATAAAAATTATTTGTATTTACCAAAATTGAAATGAGCGATCATTTTAATAATAGGACAGCCAAGCAACAACAAAATTGGACTCATTTGATCGTAAGCAAAAATTTTCACATCGATTGACAAACAAAACTCCTAATAGAAGTCCAATTCAATTAGTAGGAAATCAAGAGGTTGAAAGATTTTTGAATCTAAATCCTAGGAACATGTCCAACAAAACCTTTTTTCCTGCCAAATTGTATATATCCATATCTGCTTCTCCCCCTTCCTTCCTCACTTGTAGATTTGCACTTATTATGTTTATTATCCAGATGAGTTATTCATTTTACATTGCCTACTTTAACATTCTTATTGAGACTAGAAAAAGAGAAGAATTAGATTTATGAATATAATCAAATATGAATGATTTATTAGCATTTGGTGCTTAAACTTCAAAAAATTCGTAGCAATTTAGCATCGAATATAGTTGAAATCGTCGTCCTCATTTACAGGGGCGGATCTAGGGGGTGGCGAGCTAGGGCGGCCGCCCTAACTAGATCCGTCGAGAAGAAATTTTTTTTGGTGAGAATAGATAAAAGATTTATATTATATATCTAATAATTCATTTTATTTACAATCATCCTTGTTAGGTCAGTTGGTTGACGTTTCCACCATTAAACCAGAGGTCCTGAGTTCGAAACTTTCCAATGTCAATATTTTGTGTAATTTTTGTAAACAATTTTTACCAAAAAGAAGTGCAAACCTGTGACATTTGCTAAGGTATATTGATAGATTTACCATCATGGCAAACATTAATTTGTCACACTTAAGGAAACAAAAGAATATATGTTCATTTTACCGATTTTAATGCAAACAGAAATATTTTAACCGGTGATTTGTCCCTCTTCTTGATTATTTTTTTCTCTAATCAATTTATTTGAAGGTTTGGTCAATTAATGACGAATGAATTTGTAAAAAAAAATTGGCCTTAGTGTCATAAGGAGACTTTCAACAAAACTTATTTAATTAATAGAAAGTTCTTTTCTTCCACAAAAAAATCGATTGCGAAAAAGTGAAATCACACAAGCACATAAATAATTTCAACTTTGTTAATATAATAATGGTTGTTCAATTAACTTTAATTGTAAACTGAATATTGATATTTTGTTAACATATATTGCATGTTTGATTGAAAAATAAATTAGAACATTTTCCAGACTATATAACGATTTTTTAATCAAAATGAAAGTTGGTACCTTGTTCTAGTTCTAGTGGTGTATTTAGTTCTTCTAGTTCTAGTCCGTACGATTTTTTGAATATTATTTAATTAAATATTAATAAACAATACTGCTATCACGAACGTTGACCGTTGACCGTAAGCGTTCAATGTGCACCTCCGCCCTAGCTGAACTCGAGCCCTGGATTCGCCCCTGCTTGTTTAGTGTTCTCTCCCTAAGTTTTTGACACCTTGACATATTAACTCTTCGAAATTCGTAGCAACTTAGCATCAAATAGAAAAATGCCAATATTTTAGTCTACAAATGACTTAAAACGTCTTTACATTTACTAACAAGAGTTGATATGTCAATGAGTCAAAATTTTAATGATAGCATATCTCAACTCCCTCTCTTAAATGCTTTGGTGTGCTATTCTTTTTATCTACTAGTTATTGTTACTGCATGTTTATGCTATATTTTAAAAGTTACTTTTTAAATAAATAAATTTTGTTTAGTAAAACTATCACTTTTAAAATTATATTTGACAAAAATAAGAAACTTAAAACGTAAGTTTTACTTATAAATAGTTTATAAAAAATAAATTTACATCTTATTGCTACATTTCGAGACGCAATTTCTATTTGTTAATAATTTAAACCGTTGACAGAAAAATTCTCTAGCATGGTTGCATAGCCAAACAATGCCCAACAAGCAAAATCATTCTCCATGCATAATCAATCACAACAACGTACTAGGGATTGCATAATCAATAAATTTGAGGTCATGACCTTGTCCCTTTTAGCATTTCGCTAGGTTGATTGGTACATCTACTAGGGATTGCAATTGCATAATCAATCAAAAAAAAAAAAGCAACCAACCATCCACGTGGGTTTCTAACTTGTAACTACATAACTGATTTTTCTGTTTTCCAAAACCATTTCACTTTAAAATGAAGCAAGTGATAGAATCTAGGAACTTTAATAGAAATTACAACAGGGCTACTAATAAACATAGCTAAATCTACCAACTACAATGAGGTTAAAAACCTCTTCATACATAAGCTTCTGAGACTCCTCCTGGAAGTTCCGGAATAGTGTTATACCCGTCCTTCAATAACCATTTTACTATTTGAAAATTCCATACACTGATTTAATGCAGTTCTGAATTGACTATTTACTGATAGTCATGTGGTTTTATGTGTGTTCTTTCACCAAGGTTGTCCTTTTCCTCCAATTCGCCTTGCCAGCTCAAAATCCCTCTTCACTGAGCAGTAAGAAAAACAATGCTTTATTTAATTAGTAATGCTCGGTCAGAATGATCCTAGTGCCCAAATAATAGGATAATTGCAAGGAGTGCAAGATAAGTAGAATTAAGGACATAAGTTTAGCCAAAGCCTTGACTATACTGGAAATGAGGTTGTAACCCTTCAGTTCACTCCAATTGTAATCTAAACAACTTGAATTATCATGGCAGATCATGTACCTAGATTTGAATCCATAAACAACGAGAAAAATATAACTAGGAATATGAGATTATGAAGCTATTATAAAGTGAGGGATGTGCTCTTATCTACTGAAAATACTTTTGGCTTTCGAAAGAGAGGCAAGCATTCAGAATACTCGTCCTAGTCAACAATCCCTGTTTTCAGTTCTTGACAAAGAAATGGTACAAAAGAAACTACAAAGCACAACTATGCAACCAAATAACAATTAGATCTAGTTGGGATCCTTGTACATCCGTTAGTAAGCATTTAACAAGCAAAAATTAATCAGTTTCACAAGCTTATCTACTGAAAATACTTTTGGCTTTCAAAACAATGGCAAGCATTCAGAACACGCACCCTGCCAATTTTGCTGAATGATTTTCT